TTTTCTCACCCTCAAATTTACAAAATTTTATCTTTATTCTCTTAGGTATCTCTCAAAGATACTCTAACTAGATACTATACGTATCTTTGCCAAAGATTCTTGTGTTTTATTTTCTTCTTCTACATTTGAGCTTTAGTTTTATGTTTTAACCATTACACTAGGCACTCATGCATGTACACATTTACAAAAGAGAATTATTAATTAGTACATGATATTTCTTGAATTCTAAGTTGGTTGAAGTTTTTACTTAATTGAACTTCATTTTCATGCTGTAGATAGTTTTCATATGATGGCACTAAGGACGTACTTCAACCGGGAAACTCTTCAATTTCCCATCTCAAAAACAAACACCTTTCATGAAAGCATGCCAGAAGAAGTATCAGCACCAAACCTCAACCACTTTTTTCCGTATTCAGATGAAAGCTTCTTCCTTTCAAACCCACTTTTTAATAACTATTTTGACCCAACAGGTGATTTTGTCTTCCCTCCAGAGATCTACCCTCCTTATGATCCCATCATTCCCCTCACTCGTCATGATATTTTCCCAACTCACGAAGATTACAATCTTCTCCCATGTCCCAAAAGCCAAAAGTATAACTATGAACCTGAACCTCAAGAGTTTATTACACCATCAGTACCGTCCACTTTCTTAGAAGGGTTTTTTATGCCTTATGATAATTGTTCCTCCTTGCAAGGAGAAGAACAGCAACATGAACTCTTCTATAATGTTCCACAACATGATACTTGTGTGGATCTTCCTTGGTGTGAGAAGAAAGATAAAGAGAGAAACATATCTCCACAGAGCATAGCAGCAAGAGAAAGGAGAAGAAAGATCACTGTGAAGACACAGCAACTCGGAAAATTGGTTCCTGGTGGACCAAAGATGAACACAGCTGAGATGCTTCATGCAGCTGCAAAGTATGTTAACTACCTTCAAGCACAAGTTGGGATGCTTGAACTCATGAAGTCTCTCGAGGTAATTGTGATGATATGTCATGGAACCGCTTAGATTCTCTTAATTTTACCTATTAATAACTCTAACTAACTAATCGACAGTGGAACATCATTTAAGCATTTTTTTTCTTTTAATGTTTTTAATTGCTTCTTATGTGTTGTTATCTATATATTTACTTTTATCAATCCAAAATGTGTCTCCTTAGAATTAGGAACTTTTTATGTGATGTAATTAAGATGATTTGGATTCAATGTTTAGTTCACCGCATGTATTTCGTGTTGCTCCTTAGTCCTTACTAAATACCATAGTTGAAATTGCTGAATTGCCAGATTTGGTTAGTTATGTGTAATCTACTAATCTATGACTATGAATGGTCAACATAAGAGACTTCAAGAGCAAGAAATATATATCAAAATCTGAGTTTGTTATGTAACTTCAGTTGTTTTACTCTCTGGTAGGTGTGTAGACTTATTTTGAATTAGAATATGTTGTTATATATTGTGTAATTTTTGAAATTTCTGATTTACAGATTTGGTTAGTTATGTGTAAGTTTTTAATGTATGACTATGACCAAATGTTATATCCTTAACATTAGTTTGTTACGTAAGAGAGACTTTAAGAGCAAGAAGTATATATTAAAACTTTAGTTTGTTACGTAACTTCTTTGCATGAAAATTTCCAATTGTTTCACCTTTTTCATGTTTTATTTTGGTTATAAGCTTAATTTCTGCATGTATATATATATATATATATATATATAAATAAATAAAAGTATATAACGAAAGTATATATTTATCAAAACTCAAAATAATATAATTATATTGAAATTATTTTTTTTATATACTTCAAAGTCAATGTAATACGTAATTCAGAGTATCGAGTGATCTTTCCTATGTGTATCTCTCTCCCACGTATCTCTCTCAAAGATATTTTAACTAATACTACTAGTATTTTTAACAAAGATTCTTGTGTCTTCTGCATTTACATGCATGACTAAAACTTTAATTTATTCTCTTCCTCTGTATTTGATTTCTAATTTTAAGTTTTAACCATTACATTACTCATAGGCATGCATGAACACATATATACAAGAGAATTAATTATTAATTAGTACATATATTTCTTCTATTCTAATTTAGTTGAAGTTTCAACTTAATTGAACTTCATTTTCAATGCTTTTCATGTTGTAGGTAGTTTTGATATGATAGCGCTAAACACGTACATATTTTATCACACACAAATACTTTATTGTGAAATCTCGTAAAATAATTAATGTTCACCTTCCTCTTTGTAAAAGGAACAACAATTGGATGATACTATTAATAGTTCTTGCTAAAAAATATTTTTATTTTGACTTTAGAAAAAAATTGCGAATTTTAATTTTGAAAATTATTTTACTATTATAATTAAATTAAAAATATATTTATTTATTTAATTAAAATTATGTCATCATAATAAGAATTAATATTATATAAGATGAAATTATATATATATATATATATATATATATATATGACCTTTAATGTTTGAAAGATAATCTACATTACACTAGACATCTACATTAGAGAATTGGTGACAAAAAAATTTTAATTGAAAATTAGTTATCATTAATAATTCATATTTTTTTTTATTTTTGAAAATATTTAAAATATGAATTCTTTCTAATTTAAAAATAAAATACACAAATAAATAAATAATAATAAAATATAAATAAGATTAGTCAATTAATATGGTAAAAATCATGAAAATAACATATATAATAACTTATGGATATAATTATTTTGTTTTCTTATTTCTACGTAATTATGTAGTAAGTGTTCTACATGTTATATAAAAAAAAAGTTATGATGTTTCATCTTATTGGTGATGTAAAGAAAACTTAATACACTAGTTTTCTAAATAAGTAATTGAAATAAAAAAAAACAATATAGTTGATAGAAGGTATAGTATTACATTCAATAGTTATTTTATGCAATGTTGAATTTGTCAATAAAATTATATTTATATTTTTTTTCATTACTTTTCGACTTTATGTGAAAAAGAAAAAATAATTATAGTTTGAATAAATAAATGTTTTTAATATGTTATTGAATATTAATTCTTTTGAAAATTAAACGATTGTCGATCATTATATTAAGAATTCAAATATATTTATATTTATTTTATGAATAATAATAATTTTAATTTAAAAATTAAATTAATTAACACCCTTAATTTTAGAGATTAAATGTGTTACAAATAAATTTTATTTGTAATCAAACCTTGGAATGAATAAGGCTATTCTTTATTATTATAACATATTCAATGAGACTTATATCTACTGTAACTAAATGATTATACATGCTAATATTTTGGTGCATTGGGTGAGACAAGGTATAAGTGCTCTAAATTTTATAGACGGCCGGGTCACATACATTCTAAAACTCATGAGAAAATGCTGATATGCTGAAATGCTAATTTGCTGATTTACAATATGATGAGCATGAGGTGTTGTCGTACAATTTTGCAACGAGGGTCTCACAATCATAATATACACTTTTATATGGTTTTTGTTTATAAATATTCTTTTTAATTTTTTATTTATTATAAACTATAAAATTACAATGACTAATGTATCTTACATAACAAATTCACTAATGACATGCATACAAAATTAGGGTTTACGAATGTTGTCCAATAAAATGTGGAAACTAATTTTATAACTAGCTAAAATAAAATAAAAGGAAGTAAAAACAAGAAATATTGAAAAAAAATGTGGATATAATTACTTGCGAAGAAGTTAAAAAAAAAAAAAAAAAGAAGCAGTTTTTAATGTATATTTCTTGTCCCCAAAGTTTCTGTTATGTTGACCATGCCTCGCCTTAACTTCTAACCCTAACCGCTTCCTTAAATCTCTCTCATTTTCGTTTGCTATTTTTTCTTTTAGTAAGCCATTTTCCAATATTTAATAATAGGTGGGAAAAGCAATATATGTAAACCAGCAAAAAAAAAATACAAAACCCTAAAAATTGTAAACACAAATATTGACACAACTAATGAACCGGTAAGTCATATTTCTTAGACTAACTATAAACTCGATTACCAAAACTTTATATAAGCTTACTTTATTAGTTTTTAACTTTTAAGCTATTGGATTTTTTTTGTACCCACTATTTTTTTTAATTTCTTTTTTTACTTCAAATAACTAAATATACTCTTTTATATTATTTTACTTTTACCAACTTCTTATTAATTAATGTCATGAAAGACTTAATTCAATTGTAATAGGTTTAGAAGGTAGCTTTTAACGTGCATATATGTTAATTTTACGAAAACACATCCAACATCTTATAATTAAGGAACCAGGTTTTCGCGATGTCGTGAATAAAATTCAATATTTTTTGAAATAAAAATGTCTAGCACTAGTGTTTACTTTATGTGCATATTCGTAAGACCTTCAATAATGGAAGAAATAAAGAAATAAAGAGATACAATTTATTCTGATTATAATGTTTAGCACATATATATTCTGCTGTATACTTCGCATATATTCAAGCCACGACTAATTAATTTGAATGGAGTTTACCTGGCAAATAATTAAACTTGATATTTCTTAAGCATAAAGTCATTGTTTATCAAAAGATCGGGAAAAGAGAAAATATTAGACTGTGGAGTAAAGAGTCTTGGATGCACATTATCCCATGACTATGGTATATTCCTTGGACCAAATTGTTAAGCAAATAATAACCCTTTGCTATTATTCGTTATTTCAAAGGGAAGAGTGCAGATAACATTATTAATCTTAATTTTAGTGAAGAGTGCATAAAACTTTATCCATAAAAGACAATTCCATTTCACAAAAAAATTTAAATAAAACACTTGGTTCTTCATACATGCAAAATTAATCTAATCTGAATCTAATCTAATCTTGACTCCTCGTATATGCAACATGCAAAATAAACTTCCAATTGGGGCGATATTTATAGAATAACAACAAAGTAGAAAAAAAAATAATGCATGAAAAAATGCAAACAACAACAGATCATGAACTGTTAATAAAGATTTATTATTCTTGCTTTGCTTTCTCCTCAATGTCTGTCCCAATCAGCTGTTTAAGATCCAGATCCTCAGCGATGGTAGGTCTTGATTGAACATCCTCATGATTTGTCAAAGTGGTGACAATTTCTTTTAGAGCAAAACACATTTCCCCAGTGTACAACTTCTCTTCAACCAAGGGAGAAACAATCAGATTGTGTAGAATTTCATAAGGAGGTGTTGCTTTATCTTTCTGCCACAATGACCAAAATATAAGAATTGGGTTTGAGCTTAATTAAAAGCAAAAGACTCGAAGATGAAAAATTCAAAGCATTCAGTTGATCATTTTTCTAGATAAACTTTTGGAGTAAGTTATTAACTTCATTTTAAGAGTGGTAAATCATGCGATGATCGGTCTTTAATTCTTCCCAATGTTGTCCAATAAAATGCAGTTTATAACCAAAATAAAACATGGAAAAGGAAAAACGACTGGAAAATTCCATGCAAAACAGTTATATGACAAACTAAGGTTTTAATGTATATTTCTTGCTCCTAATGTCTATATATGTTTAATCATATTCTCCTCTTATAACTGTTTTCTCAAATCTCTCTCTAATAAAATGAGAGTATATTTTATTAAACCTTAATTCGTTATTAAACATGATTTGTAACTAAATCAAAAACTAGAGACAACAAATTAAAAGTTACCTCGAATGAGATCATGAGTTCAAGCATTCCAACTTGGGCTTGAAGGTACTTAACATACTTTGCAGCTGCATGAAGCATGTCTGCTGTGTTCATCTTTGGTCCACCAGGAACCAATTTCCCAAGCTCTTGAGTCTTCTCGCTGATCTTTTTTCTCCTTTCTCTTGCTGCTATGCTCTGAGAAGATATGATTCTCTCATTAACTTTGTTCTCACATTTCTTCTGACACCCGAGATCTATAGAAGTACCAAGTTGTGAAATCTCATAGAAAATTTCTTGTTGCACTTCCTCTCCTTGCAAGGAGCACGTATTATCATAGCAGCACTTTTGGCCTTTTGGACATGGGAGAAGACTGTGTGATCTTCATGAGTTGGAAAAATGTCATGATAGGTGAATGGAACGAAAGGATCATAAGGAGGGTAAACCTCCGAAGGGTAAAGAAAGTGACTGGGGTCAATATAGTTCTCAAAAATTGGATTTGAAAGGTAGAAGCTTTCATCCGAGTAGGGAAAAAGGTTCTGCAGGTTTGGTGCTGCTACTTCTTCATGAAAAGTGTTTGTTTCTGAACTGGGAAATTCAAGAGTGTGCCAGTTGAAGGGTGTGCTTAGTGTCGTCATGTCAAAACAACCTACAACATGAAAAAGAAATTTAATTTTAGTTGAAAATTAAACCTACTTAGAACAGAAGAAATACATCCTGGCTATAATTGAATTAATTGTTAAAACTAAAGCTCAAATGCACATGTAAAAGAAGAAAATAAAAAGAGACAAGGTATGAAGTTTTGAGTCATGCATGTGCATGCAAAAGAGACATGAGAATCTTTGTTTAAAGATACTTACTTATGGGCTTTGACATGAAAGAGAGATATACGATGTTGTAGATTTGACAGTGAGAGAAGGAAAAGACTGTGTGAAGACTTTTATGCACAGAAGCTATGAGAACTGACTCTATCGTCTTGCTCCTTTGTGGGTCGCGACAATTTAGGGGAGGTTATTACTGGCAGTTACCTTTTTTTAATTACCTTTTCTTTTTCTTTTCTACATTTCCCTGGTGTATTTATAATTAACATTAACATATATGATTTTTCTTCTCTTCTTAAGTGATCAAGAGAAAAGAAAAATATCACCAGTTATTTCAACCCTCCTTTTTATTTTGCTACGTTAATGCTAGTGCTTATTGGTCGTGACATTTCAGGGGTTTCTGAGTAGTTACTTAATTACTAGGGTTTTAAATCCTATACATGTATTTGAAAACGCTAAACTTTAAGTTATGAACTTTTTAAAAATATAACATGTTTAAGTAAAAGTAAAGAATGTTAATTATGTAAAAGAAAGTATTTAATTTTTAATATAATGGTAATTTGAATAAGTTCCACTATAAGTTGTAAGACGTGAATTAAATTAAATAAAAAATATGTTTCTGAGAAAAATAATAATAATCATCATAATAATAAAAAAAGACGTTTGTAGAAGATGAAAAATTCAAAGTGTTGATTTGATTATTTCTATTTCTATTACACTAATGGAATACCTACTAACTTCATTTGGTCAATAACAGGATGGTTTTTTTTAATTTATTTTCATATATTTTTTTAAAAAAAATATTGGTTGCACTATGCCAAATTGAATCAATATCCATTGCAAAGGTCACATCCCAATTCACGGACTGTACAATTTTGAGTGAGGTTTTTAAGCATTTATATTAACTAGAAAAAAAAAAAAAAACGTCATCAATACGCACCTCAAGCATTACCAAGTTGTCCAATAGAATGTAGAAATTAAATAAAACAATGTAAAAACAGGAAAATTCCATGCAAATCAATTACACAGCAACACTCATTTTTTAATGTATGATTCTTGTTCCCGAAGTTTCTCATGCATGTTAACCATAATCTCATCTTCTTAACCGTTTCTTTTATCAAATGTGTATGAGAAAAGTACGTAGTCAAACATAGATACATCTCGTAAGGTACTAGCCTACCAGGTTATAGTTAGTGTTTGTGTGGTGAATACAAATTTAATATTATATTTGTGGCAAATTTAATATTAATTAGTCTGCACTACTTTTTGTGCCTCTTTTCTGAAACCTTCACTAATATAACGGTATGACAGCATTACTTAAAGTTGGCTTGTCTATGTGAAAAAAATATAAAAATAACCTGTTAAATTATTTTCTTTCATTTTTCTTTTGTAGGTCCACTCTTCTTATTTAAAACCCGGCATTTGGTTTGAGTATGTAAAACACACTTGTAAATGTAACTAAATAAAGGCTATATATAACGCAAATAATATCAAATTTGTTTTGAAAAATAATACTAATGTTTGATTTTTTAATAGGGTTGAGTTGGCATTTGTGTTGAGTTGAAAATGATATATTAATACTATATAAACTTATTTTTAAGATAAATGATCTTAAACATAAATAATTTTAATTGCATTTATATTCTTGTAAAATTCGTTAAACTTTAGCCTAAAATGGCATGTATTGTTTCCTAAATTTTAAATTTATTTTAATCAATAAAAATATAAATTTGTTTATAAGCAATTTTACCTAAATTTTGAAGTTAAACTTGAATATTAATAAGTATATATATAAATATATGTGACGAAAGTATGAATATGTTTATCAAAACTCAAACTTTATAATATAATTATATTGGAAATATTTTTCTTATATACTCTGTAATGTTAAGTCACATATTCTTACTTATAATTCACATATTTATAATTTTAATTTGTGTAAAAATAACCGCTAATTCAAATTAAAGAATGCTTATAAAACTATACAATTTTGCAAGCACCACACCGTATTGGAGTTATTTTGTGACATTTTATAATAAAATACTTATAATAAAAGGAGTGGGGAAGAAAAGAAAAAGAAATATATTAAAATAAAAAAAATGCTTATAATTCATTCTAAGTAACTGCCTGCAACTTCTCCTGAATTATCTCAACCCACAAAGGAGTAAGAGCAGAGTGTGAGGATAGAGTCAGTTTTTGTAGCTTCCATATTTTCATTCATAAAAGTCTTCACACTGTCACTGTCTATTTCTTTTTCTCACCCTCAAATTTACAAAATTTTATCTTTATTCTCTTAGGTATCTCTCAAAGATACTCTAACTAGATACTATACGTATCTTTGCCAAAGATTCTTGTGTTTTATTTTCTTCTTCTACATTTGAGCTTTAGTTTTATGTTTTAACCATTACACTAGGCACTCATGCATGTACACATTTACAAAAGAGAATTATTAATTAGTACATGATATTTCTTGAATTCTAAGTTGGTTGAAGTTTTTACTTAATTGAACTTCATTTTCATGCTGTAGATAGTTTTCATATGATGGCACTAAGGACGTACTTCAACCGGGAAACTCTTCAATTTCCCATCTCAAAAACAAACACCTTTCATGAAAGCATGCCAGAAGAAGTATCAGCACCAAACCTCAACCACTTTTTTCCGTATTCAGATGAAAGCTTCTTCCTTTCAAACCCACTTTTTAATAACTATTTTGACCCAACAGGTGATTTTGTCTTCCCTCCAGAGATCTACCCTCCTTATGATCCCATCATTCCCCTCACTCGTCATGATATTTTCCCAACTCACGAAGATTACAATCTTCTCCCATGTCCCAAAAGCCAAAAGTATAACTATGAACCTGAACCTCAAGAGTTTATTACACCATCAGTACCGTCCACTTTCTTAGAAGGGTTTTTTATGCCTTATGATAATTGTTCCTCCTTGCAAGGAGAAGAACAGCAACATGAACTCTTCTATAATGTTCCACAACATGATACTTGTGTGGATCTTCCTTGGTGTGAGAAGAAAGATAAAGAGAGAAACATATCTCCACAGAGCATAGCAGCAAGAGAAAGGAGAAGAAAGATCACTGTGAAGACACAGCAACTCGGAAAATTGGTTCCTGGTGGACCAAAGATGAACACGGCTGAGATGCTTCATGCAGCTGCAAAGTATGTTAACTACCTTCAAGCACAAGTTGGGATGCTTGAACTCATGAAGTCTCTCGAGGTAATTGTGATGATATGTCATGGAACCGCTTAGATTCTCTTAATTTTACCTATTAATAACTCTAACTAACTAATCGACAGTGGAACATCATTTAAGCATTTTTTTTCTTTTAATGTTTTTAATTGCTTCTTATGTGTTGTTATCTATATATTTACTTTTATCAATCCAAAATGTGTCTCCTTAGAATTAGGAACTTTTTATGTGATGTAATTAAGATGATTTGGATTCAATGTTTAGTTCACCGCATGTATTTCGTGTTGCTCCTTAGTCCTTACTAAATACCATAGTTGAAATTGCTGAATTGCCAGATTTGGTTAGTTATGTGTAATCTACTAATCTATGACTATGAATGGTCAACATAAGAGACTTCAAGAGCAAGAAATATATATCAAAATCTGAGTTTGTTATGTAACTTCAGTTGTTTTACTCTCTGGTAGGTGTGTAGACTTATTTTGAATTAGAATATGTTGTTATATATTGTGTAATTTTTGAAATTTCTGATTTACAGATTTGGTTAGTTATGTGTAAGTTTTTAATGTATGACTATGACCAAATGTTATATCCTTAACATTAGTTTGTTACGTAAGAGAGACTTTAAGAGCAAGAAGTATATATTAAAACTTTAGTTTGTTACGTAACTTCTTTGCATGAAAATTTCCAATTGTTTCACCTTTTTCATGTTTTATTTTGGTTATAAGCTTAATTTCTGCATTTTATTGGATAACAATAATTGGAAGAATTAAAGAAAGGGTCGTCGCTTCATGTATATACCACCCTTAAAATGAAGTTAGTGATTTACTCTAAGTGTATCTGATCGAAATGATCAAATCAATGCGTTGGAATTTTCATCTTCCATTATTTTTTTTCAATTAATCTCAAACTCATATCTTTTAATATATTCTGGTAATTGTGGCAGGAAGAAAAAACAGCACCTCCTTCTGAAATTCTACACGATCTTGTTGTTTCTCCCGTTGTTCAAGAGAAATTGTACACTGAGGAAATGTGTTTTGTTCCAAAAGAAATTGTCACCACTTTGACAAATCACGAGGATGTTAAATCAAGCCCTACCATCGTTGAGGATCTTAAACAGCTGATTGGGACAGACATTGAGACGAAAGCTAAGTAAGAATAACAAATCTTTATAAACTGGTCATGATATGTTGTTTGCATTTTTTTTTCACTACTTTATTTCCTTTTTTCTATTTTGTTGTCTTTCAGTAAATATTTTGTGCCTTAGATTAGATTCAATTTGTAGTTCTATTCATTTTGCATACGAAGAACCAAGTTTAGATTGGATTATGTTCATTTTGCATGTACGAACCAAGTGTTCTAGTAACTTGGATTTTTTTTTATATCATTCAATGGTTAACTCAATGGATCTTTCAATTTATACCAAATAATGTCATCCAGTGAAAAGACAAATGTTAGCAAAGGTTGTGCCATCCCAAATTTACTAATTAACTTGTGAGTTCATGTGAGAGTGAATTGATAAGAATAAAAACATTTGCAAATAATGAGGTAAGTTCCCTATATCTTTTTTTATTTTTTATTTTACTTTTATGAATCAAGAAGAATGTGTTGAAAGTTGAGTACAGGAGATACTCAACATATTAATTTTACACAAATAGAATAAGTATAAACAACCAGGGAATCAAAGAAAGTCATTTGAAAGAAAGAAAAAACATAAAATCGACAACCTAAAAGTTAAACTAATGTTTAAGCACATTTTCGACTAATTATCATTGATTTGAAAATTAGTCAATCTAATAGGTTCGATCGATCGGACTCAGCCAATCTAATAACCGATCAGGATGTTAATGAAAACCGGTGAGAAGTAATTAAAAATTGATCGAATTAATACGGTGTTGTCTGATTTAGTAGTTCTCTATTTTTATTTTCAAAGTACAAAAAATAGTGTTGAACATATTTCTATATATATCTTCTTCTTTTTTAATCAATTTAAGTTGAGTTTGCAAATGCTAAGAAATTCATTTAGGTTGTGTTTTTTAATGAGGATTGTCGAATTTTAAGAAATTTTAAATTTTGAAAAAATTTTAATTATGTTTTTAGTCATTTAACTTTGAGGTATATATTTTTATGTTTCCTAAATTTCAAATTTGTGTTATTGGTTCCTAAAATACAAAAATAACTTTTTTGCCTTCTCAAATTCAAAATTTATCTTTTTAATTCCTGTAATTTTTTTAAAAATAATATTTTATTTTGTGTATAAGAGAGATTAAAATAATAAATTTTAAATTTGAGAGATTAAAATAATATTTTTTATACTTTGAGGACTAAAAATGCAAGTTTTAATAAGTTTGAGGAACCAAAAAATTATATACAGGAACACAAATAATTTTTTTTTTTAAAATTATAGGACTAAAAACATAATTTTAAATTTAGAAAAAAATAATTACCTTAAATTTGAAGAGTTAAAAACATAATTAAGTCTTTCAAGAAATTTTAAAAAAAAAATTTAATCAGGAAAATTCATTTAATTTACATTTGCATTAATCTGAAAATTTTTAATATATTTGTAAATAATAATGGAAGAAAAATTAAATACAAATTTTTTATTATACAAATTATCCAAATTAAACTTTATTCGTAATTAAAAATAATAATACATAAGTATAAAAAAAATATTTAAAGAAATGGAAATATATTGTGCTTTTTTTACAGCTTCATATAAATTGTGTTGATAAAGGTTATATATATATATATATATATATATATATATATATAACCTTTTGATAAGAATAAGGCATATTTCTTATTTATAGTATTTTATTTTGGGGTATTTTTTTAGTCCTAATATAGTCATTTTGAAGGTAAAAATTCATTAAATTAGGTTTGAGGTGTACATAAATTCTATTTGTATGTTAATTGCATAAAACTATCTTTGATGTTTTTCATGACTTAAAGAAGTTAAAGAAGTAGAAGAATGCAATACTTTATATATAATTCCGGTGAACCACTTTATCCATCGGTTTAGAACTTGTTTTTAAAGTTATTGTTGAAATCTCGTACTTTATAAGATGCCCTATCAATATTTTTGTTTTTCTCTTTTCTCATACATACACATGTAGTATTGCGTTTTCTGCCTTTTATTAAATTAAATATTGCAATATTATGGCTCACAGTTGCGAGAAAAATAAAGATTATGATAATGAGAGATTTAAGGAAGCGGTTAATAATTTAAATGAGGAAATAGTCAAAATAAAAGAGACTTTCGGGACAAGAACAATACATTAAAAACTGTTTCCATTTGTGTTTTCTTTTCCTTTTAATATTAATTACATTCCCTATTTTTACTTGCTCATGCATGCCTAATTACAACATAATTTCTGAAACCTTTTACATAAACCTAGCTACTAAGGGAGTCCATGGTTATATCGAAATTGTACAGTAAGAATTTCCTTGAGATGAGACTCTCACCAAACTTGTTAATATCTTTCTTGGCATATTGACTCATATATACTAAATAGTTTATTTATAAAAAGTATTAGTCTCTTCAGTTAATTTTATTCACATATATTACTTGAACTAATTCCTTCTTATTATTGTTCGTGTTTTTCATTATTTGAATAATTTAAGTAAATGTAATGAATTTTTTAAGCATAAATTACAAAATCATTCTTACACTAATTTGATAAATAACTTTATGGCCTCAAACATGTCAACCGATAGCAGTTTGCCAAATTGTTCTCATGCTTAATCTCCCAACAATTTAAACGATATTAAACTTTTAGATCACTCCTTTTTCACGAAGATTTATGACATATTCCATCACTATATCTTATTTGTTTACGTGGATGATATCATATTAGTCAATGACATGCCTCCGATTAATGTATCATAGGTATGACAACGGGCGGGATGACTTTTGTGTATCTCATTTTTTATTCTATAGATTTAAATCTTCCTCGATCCTATATCTGCCAGGGATAAAATCTGGGAATTCATCTCTGTCCTTGACAGGTTTGGGTTTCTCTACTTCACTCCTGCACCCGTTCTTGCTCTTTTTTTTTTTTTTTTTTTAATAAATATGAAAAAGAAAATACAATTTTTATATATAAAAGGTTTCTAATTTTGGTTTATATATACAAGAATAATTTTTTAATTATATTATTAAGCGGGATGGGAACAGGGACGGGAGCAGAGGGGCGGGTATTAACATCCTCGTCCCTGCCCCATCCTCAATTTTAATAATCGGGGAAAACTCAAACCTAATCGACACGAGTTTTTCCCATCCAAATCGAGTTGGGTATCCATGAACCGAGATTAAAATGTCATACCTAATGTATACAAGGCTATGGTCAACACCAAATATATTTGGAGACCTTTTTGTCCCTTATACATATCACATGTATTTCCTGCCAATTAAGAAACCACATCGCATTTCACGAGCATACAAAACACATTAATATCAACTTTTACTTAATTTTCAAGAAGGTTCAAACTTAATATTTTCACTTGCCAGACAATTTATACTATGGTATCTAACTTCTTTAACAATATTTATTTACTTATATTTATTAAATATTATTATAGATTAAGTTAATAAATTATTGTAATATTTTTTATTTTAAAATTGATCTTTCTAATTATTTATCAAAATTAAAGTCTCACATTGAGTTTCATATTTAGGATAGAAAGGTGTCACGTGAAACTTTAAACACAATCTTATTTAAGATGTATTAGAAATATTTAATATGAACAAATTTTTCAATAATTCTTTTTCAAACTATTCAAGCAATCACATTATCCACCATTTTTAGGAAAATTGGTTCTTTATTGTGAACTGTAGCTTTGTGCTACACAAGAAAAATACACGTCACTATTATCTTTTATATCTCTTTTCACACAATTTGCAAGCATTAAAATTGTATTTTAATTCCATTTCATTTTTCAAAGAATTTAAAAACAAATATTGATCTAGTGTGAATACACATAAAATCTTTATATTATTGAAGAGAAGTTGATAAAGAAATATTTTTTATGATTCAACAACTCATCAACAAATATATTGCATAATTTTATATATTATAATATATATTTTAAATACAAAAGATCTGATTAATTTCAATATATATATATATATATATAT